CCTCTCCTGGTTATTGATCCACAAACACAAATTGCCTCTCCTGAATAAATTCCCCCAAATACTCAACCTCTCCTGGTTATTGATCCAGAAATACAATATTGCCTCTGCTGAATAAATTCCCCAAAATACTCACCTTCTCCTGGTTATTGATCCACAAACACAAATTGCCTCTCCTGAATAAATTTCCCCAAATACTCACACTCTCCTAGTTATTGATCCAAAGATACGAAATTGCCTTTCTTGTACAGAGTCCCCTAAATACTCACCCTCTCCTAGTTATTGATCTTGAAACAAATATTAACTATACTGTATAGTACTCCAAAAATACTTATTCTCTCCTTGTTATTCATGCACAAAAACAAAATTGCCTCTCCTGTATAGAACTCCAAAAATACTCACCCTCTCCTTGTTATTGATGTACAAACACAAATTGCCTCTCCTGAATAAATTCCCCCAAATACTCACCCTCTCCTGGTTATTGATCGAAAGACACGAAATTGCCTCTCCTAAATAAATTCCCAAAAATACTCACCCTCTCCTGGTTATTGATCCCGAAACACAATTTTGCCTCTATTGTATAGTACTCCAAAAATACCCATCCCTCTCCTGGTTATTCATTGACAGACACAAAATTGCCTCTCCTGAATAAATCCACCAAAATACTCACCCTCTCCTGGTTTTTGATCCAAAGACACGAAATTGCCCCTCCTGTATAGAACTCCATATATACTCACCCTCTCCTGGTTTTTGATCCACAAACAGAAAATTCCCTCTCCTGTATAGTACTCCAAAAATACTCACCCTCTCCTTGTTATTGATCCACAAACATAATTTGCCTCTCCTGTATAGAACTCCAAAAATACTCACCCTCTCCTGGTTATTGATCCAGAAACACAATATTGCCTCTACTGTATAGTACTCCAAAAATACTCACCCTCTCCTGGTTATTGATCCACAAACATAATTTGCCTCTCCTGTATAGAACTCCAAAAATACTCACTCTCTCCTGGTTTTTGATCGCAAAACACAATATTGCCTCTCCTGAATTAATTATCCCAAATACTCACCCTCTCCTGGTTATTGATCCACAAACATAATTTGCCTCTCCTGTATAGAACTCCAAAAATACTCACCCTCTTCTGGTTATTGATCCTGAAACAAATATTAACTATACTGTATAGTACTCCAAAAATACTCATTCTCTCCTTGTTATTCATGCACAAAAACAAAATTGCCTCTCCTGTATAGAACTTCAAAAATACTCATCCTCTCCTGGTTTTTGATCCAAAAACAGAAAATTACCTTTTTTGTATAGAGTTCCAAAAGTACACACACTCTCTCCTGGTTATTGATCCACAACACAAAATTGCCTCTCCTAAATAAATTAACCAAAATACTCACCCTCTCCTGGTTATTGATCCAGAAGCACAAAATTACCTCTCCTGAATAAATTCCCCCAAATACTCAACCTCTCCTGGTTATTGATCCAGAAATACAATATTGCCTCTGCTGAATAAATTCCCCAAAATACTCACCCTCTCCTGGTTATTGATCCACAAACACAAATTGCCTCTCCTGAATAAATTCCCCCAAATACTCACCCTCTCCTGGTTATTGATCCAGAAGCACAAAATTACCTCTCCTGAATAAATTACCCAAAATACTCACCCTCTCCTGGTTTTTGAT